TTTTACAGCTTCGTTTGCAATGTCATTTCCTGATTATTCCCACATGACTTGGCATGTTCCTTGGTTGCTATACTTTTTGACCTGGAAAAAGCGTATGACAGCAACTAGGGATACCATGTTCTGTTTGTACTGTTCTTTTGAACTTTGTGGTAATCTCCCTGTTCTTCGTAAGGTTCCTCTCTAGTCGTTCCTTTAGCGTGTGGGTTGGTACCCCCACTCTGGCTCTTTTTCGACACTACAAAGGTGTACCCAAAGATAGTGTTATGAACACTTTCTCTTGGTTGTCCTCAATGGTCTTCTTTCCTCCCTTCTCTAACATTTCCTCCGCTCTGTTAATGATCTTACCCTCTGCTGTCAAGGTGATAACTCGCCTTTTCTCAAACGGTGGCTTCAACTTGTGATTGATGCCGTGTCGTCTTGGGGCCACCAATCAGAGCTTAAAGTTCTCTACAACTAGTAACTTCGCTATGACCTTTAATCGGAAGCAGGTATTCATCGTCCCCCACCCCCCCTCCCTGTCGCTTTATGATCCACTTGAGTAAAAAGATTCTGCTAAATATCTAGGGTTAATGACTCATTTGTTTTGGTCGCCCCATAAAGACACCTGGTGTGGTTCTCAAGCTATATCTTGCTCTAGTTAGGCCCCATTTAGATTATGCAGTTCAGTTTTGGTCGCCATATTATAGAATGGATATAAATTCACTTGAACGTGTCCAGTGTAGGATGACTAAGTTAATTCCCCAAATTAGAAATCTTTCATATGAAGAAAGATTAACAAAGCTTAAGTTGCATTCACTGGAAAGGCAAAGTTAGGGGTGACATGATAGAGGTTTACAAGTGGGTGAATGGACATAACAAAGGGGATATTAATAGGGTATTAAAAGTATCAACAAAAGACAGAACACGAAACAATGGGTATAAATTGGATAAGTTTAGATTTAGGAAAGACTTGGGTAAATACTGGTTCAGTAACAGGGTTGTTGATTTGTGGAACCAATTACCGCGTAACGTGCTGGAGGTGGGGTCCCTCGATTGTTTCAAGCGCGGGTTGGACAAGTATGAGTGGGATTGGGTGGTTATAAATAGGAGCTGCCTCGTATGGGCCAATAGGCCTTCTGCAGTTGCCTTTCTTATGTTCTTATCTAGTGACCAGAGTTGAATGCTCAAAGGCTCTTAATGAAATTTCTAAAGGTCTTGTCCCATACTTCCTGGGGAGCTGATAGGTGCACATTCATCTCTCGTGCTGTCTAAACTCTATTATGGCTGTCTTGCTGACTCATCTGCCTCTCCCTCGAGTCTTCGGTTTGATGCTCTTCACCGTACTGGGTTATGCCTCGGCTTTGGTGCCTTTCGTTAGACTTGTCCAGAGCCTGTATGTTGAAGCCGGCATCCTGTCGACAGAATCGCCTTAATCACTGTTGTCTTCGCTACTTTGTGTGGTCCCTACAACCTTCTCTCTCGCTTACATCGTACTTTGACGTTGACACCTCCTGTGGGGCCCCGCTCCCTTTCACCACCTTCCCTTCCCTTTTTTGTAAGATTGTCTTGTTTGCAAGGTTCTCTCTGTTCGCGTTACCAATATGTTTCGAAGTGTTCCATAAAATGCTCAGGGTGGGGTCCCTAATCCTAAGTTTTGTAAAACCTTGACACGTATGACTAAATTTTGTTAGCATTTCTACAGTTCTGAAACTCCATACTCGGTTTTCTTCACGCCAGCTCCATTTGCGTCTTTGCAGATAGGGTCTGTGCTGACGGTGTAGGCTACTCCGTTGTATTTCCGGACATATTTGGCTTTCCTCATTCCACCATAACCGGCGGTGGGAAACGGCTCTGGCGAGATTATATAATTCTTTTTCTTATTTGTAAAACAAATGCATGAAAAGGAAAGCATTACACCATTAAGACACCGAAGCACAAAGAAAACCCTTACACCAGCACACACCACCCAACAACATTACACAAATTGATATGCAAGCAGAAAAAGTAAAATACAAATGACACAAAGCTGAACATGCGTGAACATAATAAAAACGGTGGACAATTTTCATAGTGCAAAACAAGAGAACCCATCAAACGAGCAAAATTCACTAGAAAACACAATAAACTGCACAACCCAGACGAGGCACGCAAAGTTACATTAAAAACTACACAATGGAGAAAAAATAAACATTCAGAAGCAAGGGTACAAAGTAATAACAATTTTAAATACACACACACACACACACACCCCACGGAACACCCAGCACATACAGTACAGAAACGCGCGATCGTTCGACCGGAACACAGGAACCGGGAAACAAACTGCATCCACAACCCAGACACACATGGAAAAAAATACCGGAACATGCAGGACCCGACAAAACAAAAAAAAAAAAAAAACCCCAAAAAAAAAAACACACAGGAGCGCGCGCGCGCGCGCACACACACACACACACACACACACACACACACACACACACACACACACACACACACACACACATACATTAGAAACAACACAGAAGATAAGTCTAACACACACGGAAAACACATTACAGTATGAACCAAAAACGAAGGCCTAAACTAGGCAAACAAAACAACCACATAGCAGACAATACAGTATGTTATAAACGTTTCGGGAGCATATAATGCAAGCACAACTATGCATATTTATCGAGAAACTCACTCTTCGGAAACAGCAAGCAGTATTCCTCCCAAACGAGCTTGACATCATCAGATACTGGTTTACCAGGCAACGCACAAGGCTGAGGCATCAGCTCCGGCACCCCATTAACAAAATACTTCACCCTCGGTACTCAAATAGTTTAGGGGCACCATGGCGCCGGATGCACCCGGAAATCCACAGCAAGTTCCGAAGCCTGTGACGCATCGAGCGGGACCTCATTGGCTGGTACTACAAAGAGGGGTGCAGCACGAGGGGTCCGAGCACCAGGGGACGGACAAGGGTAGCCAGAGGTCCGTACTTGGTCGCATGGTTCTTCATTCCAAAGGGAACCACAGGGAACGCATACTTGCCAGGGCCCCTACCACCAGGAACAGGTTCCTCCCGGGGCAGTTTTCGTGAGGACCACCACGAGGTCACGATCACTAGGGGTCAACCTCCCAAGGAGGGGAGGCACCAACAGCAGGTGCTGTAGGTGCCACAGGAGGCCACACAGGGGGCCCCCCCCCCCATCACATCATCCTCCATAACTTCACATTCACCACGCCCACCCACGAGGGGGTGACACACTCCTATCCCTCCGGGAATGCTTGGACAGAGGCCTCTGATCATCTGAACTCTCGGGGGGGGGGGGGGGCCCTCCCAGCAGGAGACATCCCAGTAGAGCCCACGGCCGGCCGCAAGTCACTGGGCAACACAAGATTCGGAAAAACGTCAGCCTCGCCCACATTGGGTACAGGCCCACACCCTTCAGGCGACACAGGAGCAGGAGACGGGGCCGGCGGGGGCGGGTCCGCACCCTCCACCACCCAGACACCCACACCACCCAGACACCCACACCACCAACTGCACTCGCTAGAGCGGCACCCATCACCGCGGCCAACCTCACACAAGGGATACCATCCACAACAGAGACATCCTCACGCTCGGAGAAGGGAGGAAAATCCACTTCATGAAACACATTAACCCGATCATACATCAGTGTCGCAGGCAGCAGCCAAATGTCCAGCGTGGCTACGTTTTAAAACACGTTAGTCTACCCACGGTAGGAGCAGACCGTAAAGCCAGCAAGCACGAGAGAAGGCACATTCCCATGAACCATCTTGGCCGTTCTGTAACAATTACAGAGTTCCTTGACGTCACCGGTTTTGTATCTACAGACACGAATAGTCTACACGCCCATACCTGGCAAGATCCCGACGGAGAAGATCCTCAAATTTCAAACGGGACATTCGTAATAGACACGTATGTGTACTCCACACTAAAATGCGTCAAAGCCAAGACCGTTGCTCAGCCCCACCACCTTGTCCTCATAATGGTCGAGAAACCTCCGGAAGAAGCCACTCTCGGTGAACTAAAAAAACTACCGTCCTCACGAACAACCTGTAGATCGACGAGATCTTCCACTTTCACACCCATAACTGCAAACAGTGTTGCTGACGACGCCAATATCCACCCGACAGGTAAATATTAGCCCTATAGAGTCCTTCCTCCTCAGTGGCGGCACGTCAGTCCCCATACTGAGACTGAAAAAGTCACCCCTCAGTGGCAAACGACCACTTATCAGGGCAACCAACAATCTCCCAATGTAAAAACCAGCAGGGAGACCAAGGGAACGTCCGACCCGGCTGGTGGTTGCCACCTCACTCGCGAGGTTACGGATTGGCCATACACGTTTAATTCGCGGGCATTTAATAGTACCACTTTGCTCCTTATTGTCCAAACTGCATTGTCCCTCTTATGGTCGTGCATATCCTTGTTGAATGTCCTGACTTCCAGGACGTGCGTGCGTCTTGCTTCCCGACTGTCCCCCTCGGTCACCTTGATTAGGGTATCTTTGATATCGTTCGCATTGTGATTTTATTTTCGTTTTGGCATCCTTGGTGATATTTAGCACATTGTTGAAAATCCAGTACATTTGATGGTACTACATAGCCTTCCCTGCCTGGTACAGTCTTTTGATAATTATCTTGCTTACCTTGGAAAAAGTGGTTGATAACCCAAGTCTAAATAAGTCTTTTCTTCCAATAAAACTCTAAAAAAAAAAATTGCTAAACACGCTTTTGATAACATGAGTGGCCCATAGTCATCCCTTTCCTAGTCACTAATACGCTAGTGCTGGATGTGCAGTTTGCAACCCACATTTAGGATTAGCTATCAGAACACTGATTATGACTAGGGCTTTGAGAAGTCTTGCATAGAGGCTACGTCGGATACAAAATACGCTTATAGATTTCCAGACTGGGTGCTACGTATCGCTTGTATTTATATAATTATTTATGCTAGCCACTATTTTATTTTTTAACTTCTTAATGTATTTCGTATAATTTCTTTTCAGCAAAAGAAGCGTCTCATTCAAGCATTATTGATAATGTTAGTGATTCAGCTCATTGTCCATATACTGTGCTGCATGGGCATACTGTACATGGCCACTAGTTACAACGACTTGGCACACGTGTTTTCCGCGATGACTGCTTTCTGTTTGTACCTGCTTGTCGAGGCTTGTCTTCTCCTGGTAATCCGTGCACACTACTTGCAAGTGAGTAATTGGTATTGCTAAGCCTCCCCTGCCCCTCTGTCCTCACTATCTCTTGATTTGCGCCGTCTTAATGCTAAGGTTGAATTTCCAGAAGTGATTGTTTGCAATATATAAACGGATGCACTGATCCCTGAGCAAATAAACTACTTGGTGTTTTTCCTATTGTTAGTGCCCGTCAAGTAACCCATGCAATTACAGCACTTACGGATTTTTAGTAAGCCTAGATTTTCGTAAATACTCATAAACCAATTATTCCAGATAAAACTGTCAAAATTAGAATGATCAAAATTGAGTTCTGGTGGTGCAGCAACAAGCAAAGGAGTCTCTTCGCTACGAAGACGTCTGTCGCCGGTGTGGCAAATTGCATACTCTCTTAACTTTACGGTACATGTTTCTTAAACCCACGATGCATGGGTCGTCTTGGCGCTAATGGTAGTCTCGGTGACGAAATGACGTAGTTTCATGTCCAATTTTTAAATTCAAACTATTTTTTTTTTTTTAAATTTAGAAACTATTATTTTTTAGAATGTAATGAGTGCAGTAGTGTCTCTTTTTACCCGACTAGAATGATTGAGGCATTATCCCTGTATAGTACATTCGGGTACACACATTTATCTATGAATCTTAGTTTTTACTACAAAGTTAAATTCACTGCATTTAGTTTTCCTAGTTTTCGCTTCTGATTGTACAATGGCTAGCTACACTACTTGCGTGTGGGATTGGTTCGGTGAATTTGGGGATCACATCAGATAACCCACGAGGGTCAACAGGTTGACAGTCGGTGCGTTCTTGTCACACCCGGAACATACCCTGAGGCTGTAAAAACTGTTTAAGGTTGACAAACCTGTTCACAAAAGACCTACCTGTTCAGTGTAGAACTTGGTTAATCATAAATAGTAGGTAATGAGCTAGGTTCGTACCAGCATTTACTAGATTTTTACTTATCACTAGAGATGTACAACAGACGTTATTAAACAATTTATTTTAAGTGGTTTTATATTTCCTACCTCAAAGTTGGATGACTGATAATGCCAGAACATGTGAATCGAGGAATCTGCAAAAGGTATATTGGCCCCCACACGTGTCAACTCTTGTGAAATTTTATATCTATAATAAAATTATATAATAGACTAGCTGTACCCGCCACGCGTTGCTGTGGCTCAGTCTGGTTAAGTGGAAAAGAAAGAAAAGAGTGCACGTTTCTAATACGTTTAATTTCACAATGCTTGTGGTAATACAATATTTGTTATATTGTCTGTAGATATAAAGATTGTATGGTTTGCCAACTCTAGAACACGCAGCATATAATTGTCCATGTGAGAAGCAATCCGTGTCTAGATATAAACTGCAAAATTCTAAAGATTAGCCCTGAGCTTTGTTGATGGTGATTGCAAACGCCAATCGAACTGGAAATTACACTCTTAAATTGAAATGGCATATCTGTTGGAATAATAGGAATGCGAGGAATGAGGACATCTTCACCTTTGAAAGGTCCTGTCAAGATTGTTGCTTCTGCGACGTTAATTATATTTTTTTAGTGCAATGCACGTGGCCTTGCAAAGTTTTTGCTGGTTGATATTTCGTAACATAATAATTGGCAAGCAGATTTTCAATTGACGTACGTGTTGGTATCCCTGGCAGATAATGAATTCAACAATTCTGTTGGATAATTAACTGCTTCATCTGCTTCCTCAAGAGTATCGACAGATTTGTCTTCCTCGCTTTGGATGTTTGACTTTTTTAAAAAATTCTAAATTCAAATGTTTATCTAGGTAAAGTACATACATACAAAATGTGATATAAACATTGATGGATTTATAGATAGCTAGTAAAGCCACTATTATGCAAAGCGTTTCGGGCAGGAAAAACACTAAGACTAAAAATTTATACTCCTAATCTCTCTTAGAATTGTGTTGAGATAATGTATAATTAAAAGAGGGGAACATGGCACAAAAATAGCAAATATACATTTAGTCGACAAACGGCATTTTTTAAAATAGAGAACATGGGTTGACATTTAGGGGAAGGTAGGTTACATGGAGTTAATTAGGTAGTGCTTAGTTTTTATCTTAAACTGGTTGTGAGAGGTAGTCTTTAACATGACTGGGAAGACTGAATAATATTAAGTTCGTAGATGTCTTTGTTCTTGGGTGCAAGAATAGCTCGTTCAATCGGCCAATCGTGAGTCTTGCAATTCGTCTGAATATTGAGAAATACTTCTTCAACCAATTATTCTTTGGACGTCACTAAATGGTAAGTTATGAGGCAATGAAATTCATCCTGAAGTCAGATCAACAGGCACGTTTCAGTTCCAATTTCCAGAAATTGATGAATATCTCGGCTGAAGGATGTTTTGAGGCTGGATACACATATTTGTAGTTAATTTTAACGTCTTTACGTGGTGCCACAAAGTAGAGTATTTCAGACGTGCATTTATTTCATCCGCTGGTGTCAATCGAGGAATTACAGGTAATGTTTGCCTGAAATCTACTGCAAGCAATTTAGTGTGTTCCCAAATGGTCTGATGTTTCCATGCAAATCTTGCAGTGACCGATCAAGAGCCTCGAACGATTTTTCGTGGGTCATTGTACATTCATCCCAAACAATAAGTTTGCATTTCTGCAATACTTTTCCCATGCTGGATCCATTGGAAATGTTGCACGTGGTAGTTTCAATGAATTGCATGTTCAGTGGCAATTTCAAAGCCGAAGTAGCAGTTCTTCCATCTGGTAGCAATGTCATAGCTATGCAGCTACTATGCAAGAGCTAAGGTTATGCCATTTTGGGATCGAATTGCTGCCAGAATCAATCTAATTAGGAAGGTTTTACCAGTTCTTCCTGGCGCACATAAGATTTCTCCAAGATCGTTATTGCGAGTTTGAATTATTTGATTGTAAATGCCTTTTCACTCGAGCATTAACTTGGGAATATTCAATTGCCCATGCAACAACAGATCGCCCGTATTGTAATTTTTTTCACGACGCAATTCTACATCGAACGAAGCAGCAGCAGATAGATTCGGTGATGGCATTTCCAATTGAGAACTTTGTTCGATTTCCCCCTCCCCATCCGGCCCGTTGGCGTCGTGAGGGGGCTTGGTGGACGGCTGCTGGAGTGTGATGCTCCGTGGGGCAGTCCTCTGTCCTTTTCTGGCCTTGCACTCCTGCTGCTGTCTTCTCTAATTGTGCTGGATCACTTTTCCTTTTCCTTATGTTTCGTTTTTCTCCCCCCCTCTTCTCCTATCTGCTTGTCGTTTCCTGCAGGCCTTTTGTTTGTTTTGGACTATTTCTTTGGACTTCTATTTTGACGCCCGGGTGCTTGAGGAGGCATACTCTTGCACCCGTAGAACTGTAGTACCCAACGTCTCGAGCGAAGGGAACCTTTTATTGTCAATCCCCCTTTCGTCGCTGATCCCGATCTCGACGGACTGACGGTTAAGGTGGCGTTTGTGGGGCGTATACTCACGACGCACCCCTAGGGGGGCCCCGGCATGATCGACGATAGCTTCCTGTTGGGTGTCCTGCCTCTAATTGTGGCTCCATGGTGGGTATGGGGGCACATTCGTGGATGAATTTTTCTCTTCGTCTCTGTCGTTGAATGTTTCCGTTGTACCCTCTCAGGCTCGTGGGGTGGGCGACTAAGCCCCCGAGTCGGCCTGTATTGGAAGACCAGGCTCTGTAGCTCCCGCTGCGTTGGGCCCCGACCTTGCTCCTCCTTTGACCGTCCTGACTTCTTCCCCCAGCTCCCCTCCCTCCTCTGTGGTTGGGTCGAGCCTCCAGCCCCCGGTGGTGACCACTTCGTCCCCTGGTGCGGCTAAGTCTCTCGTGACTAATGCGCCTTTAGACCCCTCTCTAGGGGTTCTCAACGCCGTTCGCGCCCCAGCCGCACTCGCTCGATTCCTTCCTGTGCTGATGCGTATCGGGCCTCGTTTGGTCCTGCTTCATGGGCCAAATACTTTGACCTCCTCCCTCTTGATTCTGCGCCTCCTGACGATTTCTCCCTTCATCGGCATCTTGTAGATTCCGTGGATGCGTCTGTTACTTTCAACCCCACTCGTCTCGGTACACGTGTTGTTGCTGCTCCTTCTCAGGATGCAGCTTCCCGCTTGGCTGCCTTATCTTGCCTTGGCGAGATCCCTGTTCGGGTCTCCAAGAACTTTCAGATGAATGCCAGTGTTGGCACTATGCTCCTCCCACCCCGTGTTGCAACCGGTGTTCGGAATCTGCAGGATTGCCACGATGATATTCGCCATATCCTTGATGCCCAAGGCCATTCTATCCTCCAGGTTGACTCGTTTACTCGTCCCCCTCGTGGTCGTCGCCGTCAACCCCTTCGCGTTGTGAAGATCACCTTTGATGGTAGGACCCTTCCATCCTCTGTCATTCTTGCTGGTGCTAGGTGCTCTGTCCAGTAGTATATTCCTTCTCGACTTTGTAACAAGTGCTGGAGGTTTGGGCATGGTGCCCTCTGCTGCTTTGGGACTGTCTCTGTTCTTTGTGTGGGGGTGAAGGTCACTCTAAGTCAGAGTGCACTTCTCCCCAGGCTCGCTGCCTCAACTGCGGTGAGGCCCATCCTACCTTCTCCCGTGCCTGTGTCCATTACAAGCTTGAGGCAGCCGTCCTCAACCTGAAGCACCGGGAGCGTTTATCTTTTCCTGAGGCGAGGCGCCAGGTTCGCCGGCTCCCGCCTTATACTAACATCTCTTATGCTCGCGTGTTGCGCTCTTCCTCTCCTCGTCCTTCCCCCCTTTCTCAGACTCGCAACCGTTTCCGGGCCTTGGACCCTGATACGCCCACTGCCCCGTCCTCTGTCCCTTTGTGTTCTGTCCCGAGGGGTCCCCCTCCTGGTCCTCTGTCTGGGGTTCCCCTTCTTTCTACCCGGTCTGTCATATCTCCTGTGTCTTCTTCGTCCCCCTCCGATCCTCCTCCTTCCCATCCTCTTCCTCCATCTATCGGCTCTCCCCGCCGCCTGTTGGTGCAGGCGGATGTCCATCGCTCTCCTAACGGCCGTCGTGTGTGCTCTCGTTCAGCTTCTCCTGTTGACACTGGAATCCGTTGCCCGGTACGTAGTTGCTGGGACACCAGTCTCTTTAAGTCAGAAGCGTGAGCCTGGCTCCTCTCCTTCCTCCTCCCCGGTGGGTAAGAAGGCTTCGCTTTCTTCCTCAGCTCCTACTTCTGGCTCTGTTGCTCCTTCCCCTCCCGTTTCAGTGATTGCACCCCCTGTTCCTGCCATGGAGGTTTCTTTGGCCTCTGCTTCCCTTCGGTTGCTGCTCTTGCTGGGGTGCGCTCCCCTCTTTCTACTCCCCCTCTTCCTGCTGCTGTCCTTGACTGCTCCTCACCGTTGTCTCCTCCTCTTCCTCCTCCTCCTCCGGACCCCGCCCGCCCACCTCTGATCTGTTCTCCCGTTTCCTTCCCTCCGTCTTTCCTCAGTTTACCTATGCCCCCTAACCCTGACTTCGCTGACCCTGATCCCGACCCTGATATTCTTTGACGTACTCTGTTGCTCTTTCGCATTTGTTTCTTCCTTGTTCTCTGTTTGTCTTTTCTCTTCTCGTCGTTGTCCATTCTTCAATGGAACGTTCGAGGTTAATACGCCAATTTCCTCGAACTCCAACTTCTGATTTCGCGGTTTTCGCCCCTTTGTGTCTGTCTCCAGGAGCCAATGCTTGGTGCTCGTCCTGGTCGTTTTCGTGGCTATTTCTTTCTCCCCCCCCCCCCCCAGCCGTTGCTGGGGCTTCTAATTCTTCTGCTCTCTTGATTCGTGCTGATGTTCCCTTTGTTCCTATACTTTTTCTTTCGCCTCTCCATTGTTCTGCTGCTCGTATCTTTGTGGGGAAATGGTACACAGTTTGTTCCAATTATCTCCCCCCCGAGTGTCCCGCTCTCTCATCCTGATTTGAAACACCACCTAGACTCCTTGCCAGAGCCTGTGCTCCTGCTGGGTGACTTCAATTGTCGTCATTCTCTTTGGGGTGACGTTCTGACGAAT